AATTAAATTTTAAATCTTAAAATTCAAATTAAATTTAAACTTGACATTAAATTTAATATTATATTAACTTGAACTCGATATATTATATTTCTCTACCTGTTAACATATTTAATTTGGTTATACATCCCTAATTGGGTTACAGGGGAACGTGGGTGTGCAAATTCATATTTAATAATACTGTTGGTAGGCGAAAGTGGGTGATTATTGGTTAATCGACTAATTCACCATTGAATTATTTATTCGAATAAGCTTAGAGCATTAATTAATATTTTTTATTTTTTAAAATATATATTTAAAAAATAATTAATATTTTAATATACATTTTGTAAATTTTTAGTCTATTCCGACGGGCTGGGCCTTGAAAAAGGCTTTTTTCGGATTGAATTTTATTTTGACAAACGAACCATTTTCATTTTTTATTCCTATTTTTTGAAAAAGAAATGCAATGGTTAAGACCGGAGATGTTCTTTTTTAATTTGATGACGAGAGCAAACCCATTTATTGCGATTTGGACCTACCCATCCAATCCAACAAGTTTCCAGAAACCATAGCGGTGGAAAGGGCAACTGAAGTGGCAAAACGTGCATCGCAAAAACCAATTTCAGCTGCCCAAAATTAACAATTTCTTTGTGAACAACTATGAATGAATCTTCTTTTTCCTCCAGTTCTTCACACTTTCTGGAATATTCGTCCCATCAATTTCGTGAACAACCTTCTCCTCTCCACCAACTGTATTCTCCGGCTGAATTCCAAAGAATATTAGGTAACAAAGTAATACAATTTTTCCTCCTCTTAAAATTTTTTAATATATTAATCTATAATCTATATCTATATTTATATTTATAATACATATAATAAAAATTCAAATATGAACAAAAATTTAAACTCGTGAAAATAAACATATTTTTATATAATATATTTAAAATAACATTTATAATTTTAACTATTTTTTTAATTTAATATTGTATTTCCATGTTGATAATAATTTTTATTTCTAAATGTTCAGAAATATTGTATAATGATAATAATAGTTTCTTTTCCAAGTTATATTCTAACCTTTAAAAAATTCAAACCCAATTTTTCTAATAGTTAGATAGAAAGTCAATACTTTTGACTTTCTTTTGAGAAAAAAAAAAAAAACTCCTTTGTATTTTAAGATGATCAACATCACATAAGTTAGACTTTGTTATTTATTCAATTGCTAATATGTATTTTTCGTTTTCTGATTGCTACTTTAGACTATGAGTGATATCCAACCCGTTTCAAGTGATGTTGATCACACAACGATGATGATTAAAGTGATTATTAGTAGTAGGTAAGAATCCAAATTTTATAAAAAAAAATTAAAGACACAATTATAATCAAATATTATATTTATATAATTAATTACATTATTAATTAAATAATTAAACTCACATATAATATAATTTAAACTTAAAATTTTAAAGTTTATTTTTTATCATTAAATCAAAGTTTTATAAGTAATTTTATATTAAAATTATATTTGAATTTTACACATATCTTCAGTAAATATAATTGAATTTATCACATCATCAGTTAAATTTAAATATTAATTTTAATGATATCTATTTAATATAAATTATTCATTAAAAATTTTTTAATCATAATTACAATAATTTTATTATTATTTTAAATTTTATTAAAATCAATCTTACTAACTATTCAAATATAATAAAAAAAAATTTGTGCCACTTGAGCTAACATAATTTTGTTGCTTTATGCCTTGACTTTATATGGCTAAATGTCAAAAGTAATTCAATAATGGTAGTCAAATATTTCTTTCGGTATCATGAAAGCAATTATTAATCCTACGTACCATCCACAAACCCAACTCCTTTCATCTAAATGAATTCCATTAAAATCACTTACCTAAATTAGATAAAATTTTATAGAACGTTCCTTTTCACGAAATTCAAAGAAATGAAAACTTTATATCAATTACAAAATTATTTTCTTATGTGGCACCTTCTCAGCACGTCTTTAACACTAGCCTAATATGAATTTTTTTCAGAGATAAAACTCATAGCTTAAAATAAAATATTCATGAACACTCTAAAAAAAAAAATCCAAATAGCATCGAAATTTATTCTAAGCATCATTTTTGTGGATAAAATTAGATTATTTATAATTTTTTATTGAATAATTATTTAATTATATATATATTTAAAATATGAAAATTCGTCGTTGACAATTAAATATTATAATAATATATTATTTTAAATGTTTTTTTATAATTTAGATATATTATAAGTAAATACTTAAAAAATTATAAATCTATCATTGAACTTCATTATCATTTATTTTTTGTATAAAAAAATAATTAAAGAATAAAATAAATAATTGCAGTAATAAAATTTAAATTTATTAAATATTATTTTTTAAAATTTTATATAAATCAATTGAGATAACATCAAATTCTTATATCATTTATATTACCTTCCATTAACCTTGTTTTTATTAAATAAAATGTCATGAGATATCAAGAATTGAAAAGGTTGATTAAATGTATAAAACAAAGATTTATTAGATTATATTTTTAAAAATTACATATATTACTAGATATGACAAATTATTTTAACGACTAAAACACATTTTCATTCTAGTGTATTTTTCACTATTCTAAATGAAATATCAAAATTAATCCAATCCTCTGGCAATTTTTGAATTTTTTTTTATATAAAATAGGCATAATCCAAGAGAAAAAAAAGAGAAACTTTTGTTCGAAATAAATATTTATATATTTTTTCAAAAAATTTTTTAGTCGCCAGATCAAAGTGCACTTAAAAGAAAAAAAAAAAAAAAAAAAGGAAGCTTGGCAAGAGAGCGTGGGGAGACGCTCCAAGAGAGGCGAGTACGCTTATTCCGTAAAAATATAAAATGGATTTTATGTTGAAGGGTGGATGATTATGAATGTGCATCATCATAAAAAGAAAAAGAAAAGAAAAAAAGTAAGATGCTTTTGCTATCAATCAGATGATGAATGAGTGGGAAAGATTTTCTCTCTCTACTGAAAGTCAACTCCCTTCTCTCGCCCACTACTTTTTGCTTAACTTTTCCCATTTAGTGCACTGCTGCCCTTAACCATTGGTCTTTCTCTTCCGCGTCTTCGATTCCTATTCTATGCGCTCGTTCTCATTCCTTCGCTTGAGCCCCCGTCTCTTCCCTCAATCCCATTTTTCATATTGTATTACAATTTACGACAAGATGTTTGATTTTCCATAAGGATAAGGATTATTCATTCAATATTATTGTCAATGGGATAGTAAAATATATATACTTTTATCTTTAAATAATGCAAACTACTAATTTCATGTGAATAAATTTTATAAATACTATGTATATTGATAAAGTTACAAATACAAATGCCAAAAATGATTGACTTAATTAGCTTGGTTTGCTTTCTTCATTATCAAATGCACCATTTTTTAGTTTCGTTGATAATTTTTTATTGATGCTTATTTTAAATATAACTAATAAAATTTTATGAGAAACACTCGTTTTTTTATATAAAAATTAAAATAATTTATTTGTCACATGACCTCACATTTTAATTACAAAAAAAATGATAAATACAATTAAAATGATGATCGCAATCAACTATCATTACATATAATTAAATCAATATTGTGATGGGATTTGAATATAAGAAAAAAAATTTAAATTGTTTTCTTATAGATAAAACAATATTGAATAATAAAATTATGATTAGTAATTTAGTCATATGTTTTGCCATTTACATAAGTCGGCCATCAAAGTTACGTTGTTAGGAATTTCTTAATGGAACAATAATAAGTTGGTAGATTTTTCTTTATAATTGATTTTACGACGCAATTAATATTATTAATGCAAGTACAGTAAAATTGAAGACAATTCATTGCATTCAAATAGTAGTTGATCATCATAAAAATGTCAATAAATTTTTTACCATATCATTTTTTTTATAATGTTGGTATTTATGGTTATTAATGTATTTCAAAGTATGGTTTTGGGTTTATTGACATTATCCAATATTTTTATTTATAAAATAGATGAGGGATTTAATTGCGTCAATATAAGTACTATATTTTATTTTTTTTACTGAATCAAAATTATTAAAATAAAAAAATATTATTTTAATTCAAATCAGTTATAAAATTTATTTGAATAAATTTTTTTAAAATGTAACATTTGCAATGGTGTAAAAATATTTATACTCTATAAAATATATATACACATAAAAATACACTTTAATTACATACATCTATTATCTATATGCAAATATAAATTCAAAACCGTTCTTCTATTTCAAAAGAAGAATTACATACATCTATTATCCATATAAAAATATAAATTTAAAAAATTATAAATATCTAATATCCAAAATTTTAAATGTCAAATAAATATAAAAATATAAAAAATACGGCAAGTTATTGTTCAATAACCTGATTTAAAGCGCAAAAAGGAATATAATTTAATGAACATATATTGTTTTTACATGAAATTATGAAAAATAAAAAAAGATAATGAAAAAGTACTAAAAATTGATTAAATGAATAAAGTAAATTTAAAAATTAAAAAAAGTAAAAAATTTATATCAAACAATAAAATTGATACAAAAAGTGAAATGATCATTTAATTGGATTAGATGTATAATTTATTATTTTTTTAAATCTGTATCTGCCGGTAACATTACTTTATTATCAATTTTAATCATAGAAAAGAATATAAACTTTAAAACATTATTTCATTAAGAATTGTTATAACTTGAAGTGAAAATTTTCATTGGTACATTTTAATGTTGGGATGATGCCACGATATAAAAGAGGTAAAAAGGGCTTAACGAATGAAAATTTACTGTTACACGTGCCTGAATGCTATTAGTGGAGTTCATGATGAGACGAAATGGAGAATAGCACGATAACAAAGCTAAGAGAATCCAAAAAGAATTGTCAAAAGGCCAAAAAAGCAGCCTGGGAACAGGGTGGTGCGCAGGATAAGGGTCAGCAATCCTTGTACTCTGCCTCTATAAAAGAGAGCATCCATTTTCACCGTCTTCTGTAGGTCAGCGTCACTCATTCCCACACCCCCTAAAAAAAAAAAATCAATTAAAAGAAAAGGTTTAGTTATTTTTCTTCTTCTTCTTCTTCTTCTTATTCTTCTTCTGATATCTCCCTGAATTCCTCGAACTGCATTCAGCATTTACTCCTTTTTTTTCTCTGAAAAAAGGTACTAATAGTAGTGAGAATTAAGAATGGAGGGTTTGCCCCCTGGTTATCGCCCCAACGTTGGTGTCTGTCTAATCAACTCTGATAATCAGGTACCCTTCTTTAATTTTATTTCTGTTTTTTTTTTGTTTGTTTGGGTTTTTTCATCTGTATTGTGAGAGCAGAAGGGGATTGAGCGGACTAATGGCCCGAAAGAACACACGGTCTGAAAAATTAAAATAATAATAAAAGGAGTTGAAATTAAGTCAAATTTGGATGTGTGTGTGGATTTTCTGGATTTTTTTCTATATTGAGATAAATAATTTGAAGAGAATTGATAGACTTTTGTGATTTACTTTTTGTTGATTAAAATATTTAGAATATAAAAAGTGGAAAAGAAGTTTGAATTAAGTCGAGTTAAATTTTCCATTTTTTGGTGAAAATTTGTTTTGTTTAATGGTTGTTTGAGGTTTGTTCTTCAGATATATGGGTAAAGAAAGCTGAAATACTTCATTTTCCTGCTTGAAGGTGTTTGTAGCTTCCAGATTGAATGTTCCAGGAGCCTGGCAGATGCCTCAGGTATTACCGCTGTTGGATCATCTATTCTTTGTAGGCCTCATTGCTTGCTGGCTATTAATTTTGTTAGAAATGGAGTACTTTTCTTTTTTCTTATTTTGTGCTGGCCATTCCGAGTAATTACACAGTTCATATCCAAAGTTCTAGTCTTCCTAGACGTCAATGGCTGAAAATTGTCACTGTATTGCTGACTATAACTTCGTTGCCTCCCAACGGAAGCCCTTTTTTTCGTGTTCTGTTTCATACTTATACATATTTAAACGGAATGTATTTACAGTTTTCTGTGAGTGTGCACATGATTAATTAAAAGAAATGATTTGCCAGCCTGCTGCGTTCTTTTATTTTTGTTTCGTATTTGAGTGTCTTTCAAGTTTTTGATGTTAGCAAAATAAAGGAATTCATACATATGTTACTGCGATCTTATTCCTTTTTTGGGGCATTCAAAAGCTTTTTTTTTGGCTACACCTGAGATGGCCTCATCTCTTAAAGAGTGCACATATGTTTGGGTCTAGTTTAATTGATTATAATTTGGGGATTCTACAAACTCAGGGGGGTATTGAAGATGGTGAGGAACCAAGATCTGCAGCTATCAGGGAATTGCGAGAAGAAACTGGAGTGGTATCTGCTGAATTTATTGCAGAGGTTTGTTAATAAAGATTGTCTTGTTTGGGCAGTTTTTTCTGTAGGGCTTTTATACATGGTTGGCAGCGGCACTTCACAGATATAATTCTATTACATGATAATTTTTGCAATTCTTTCAAAACCTCAGAGATTTAAGTATTAAATGTAAATAGGATGGATCCAGTGTAGAATTATTATCGCCAAAGTTACTGTTTACTCAGCCATAGCATGCATGATATATTTGAAGTCTGAGTTTCAAAAAGCAAATAAATTTGGGAACAAGCTAAAGCAAAAGAGAATGGATCAAACATTTTCTCTCTTCATGTATTGTCTATAAGAGAAATCGGATACATACGGTTATTTCAAATTTAGATTCACTTGAATAAAGGTACTGGAAACAACAATTCCTGCTAAATGTATAAAGCATTCAAGCTATATCCTTACACTTCTACGCAAGAGTTTAGTTTAATATAATTTCCTCCATTCTCTGCCACTTCTTTCTTTCCTCAATTGCTGCTGTACATCTAATTAACATTGTGGTTTGGCAGGTTCCTAATTGGTTGACATATGATTTTCCTTCTGCTGTAAAGGCCAAAGTTAATCGACTCTGGGGAGGTGAATGGCACGGGCAGGCACAGAAGTGGTTTGTTTTTCCTTTTCTTTGCATTCCTCTCTCATTTATCCAACCACACATGCTTACAGCTAGGTGACCTCATCTATTAGAAGAAAGCCATTTGGGTTTAAGATGGCTTAGTTTAATTTTTAATCTAATTTATAGTTTAAGCTAGTGTCTACAGATTTCTCACAGTGGTCAGTGCATCTAATGCTAGCCTGCAGTGTCATATTTCTCTTCCTTGTTTCTGTGAATTAATTTATTCTTTTTCATTATGCCGGGTGTTAGGAGGAAGGCAACTATTGCATTTTCTAGTTAGGGAAAACTTTTTAAGAAAGTATATACAAGAAAAACTGAAACTCTATGATGAATCATGTGGACACTTGCATGGGCTATCTGTTAATGGTTGAGCATTTCTTTTGAATTACTCACATGCTACCTTTAGCAACGTAAAGAAACAATATTCTTTTGAGTACTCTCTTGTTCCAATATCCTATCTGAAGTGGCATTCTGCTTAATTTTAACGGATGGGAATATGGAATATCATTATCTGTAAAGTTGTGGTAGTAGCGATATATATAAATATATGGAAGTAGAATGTTTTAAATTTTGTTCCAGCAAGAGCTGCTAATTAAAGAGATCATGAATACCTTTTTCCCTTTTTGCGTGGTGTGCCTGTCTGTGGTAATGGAATTACCGTGAGATAAAAGTAACTTTTGTTCTTTTTCTTTCTAGTGTAGTAGATAATGCTGGGAGACAGAGTGATCCTAGAGTCAAACACTAATTACTTGGCGTCAGGGGTATATGAGTGGCTTCAATTAATGGTCAAAAGTCAAAAGAAGCTATAACTTGACTAGTTCATGATAAAATTCTCGTTTATTGGATTTTATATGCAACTGCAAGGAGCAGTTGCTCATAAAGCAGCTTTAGCTATGCATTTCGTCCTCATGTGGAGTTAGTGGCTAGCATGTATATGCCCTTTAAATTTGTAAACATTTTGATTTAAGTCTTTGAAGTATGTTTCATTACCTTGTATGCTTGCATCCTTCTCGGGAAGGGAGAGTTACCAAAACAATTGAGAGGGCATTAAATGCTTGTTTAGAATTAATATGGTTTTTAAACTATGATCAGTACAGTCTACAAATATCTGGCCTTTTCTTTCTCCCTCTCCCTGTGAAAATATGTGCACGAAACCTGTGCTCCAAAATCTTCCTTGCTTCTTTTTTTAATTATTTAATTTCATTATTAAGCTATATGTCATCTGATCTCTGTGGTAATTTTTTACCTGAGGCCATGAAGTGCATACGAGCAAAGTACAAGAGTTTTTCATGTTTTTTCATGATTTGTGGGCTAACTATAGATTTGGACAATTGACAGGTTTCTTATGAGGTTAACAAAAGATGAGAGTGAGATCAACTTAGCAAATGGAGAGGCAGACCCAGAATTTGCTGAGTGGAAATGGGCAGCCCCTGAAGAAGTTGTTGAGCAGGTATTATGCAGTAGAAGCATTATTTTTTGATACATTACAATAGCTGCATTATCAATTACTATTATATGACTTTTACTAATGAGTACCCTTTGAAAAGGCTTACTAAGATAAGATGTATAAACAAATGGGTATGCAGGCAGTGGACTATAAAAGGCCGACGTATGAAGAAGTTATGAAGACCTTCAGGCCTTACTTCAGTGACAATAGGCAATAGCAAAGCCGCAAAATGTAAATCAACAAAATGGTGAATGCTATGGTGTGTTTTAGTAGGTTTCTCTCCATGTTTTTTTTTTTTGCTCTTGGTAGTGATTATATTTGGACTCTCTTAATCCATCTTTGCTCTCTGTAAATGGATACTGCAGCTAGCACTTCAAATTTAGATGGTTGTTTCATTGTAATAAGATCTTTGTTGTGCAAAAGAAATACGATGCTCTTGGTTTTTGATTGGACCTTTTGCATCATCTTTTTGCTTGGGTAAAAATTATTATTTTTATTTGATTTTAATTTTAAAATATATATTTAAAAATATTAATATAAGAATAATTTATTATTTTAATATTAAATTTAAATTAAACAGATTAAATGGGTTCTTAAGAACAAGTCAATTATGAGTTTTAAAGATGTCCATTGCCTACGGTTGATGGACACTTCTAATTTATCTTCTATGATTTTTATCTATTTAAAATATTCTGCAAAAAAGGAAAAAAGAGGTTAAAAGATTAAAAAATTAATTATTCTTTTTAGTTTTCTATACTTAAAATGTTTTGTGAAAAAGAAAAAAAAAAGCAACTATAAGTTAAAACTTAAAAATTAAGAAAAACGGAGACAATAGGAGAAAGTTAAAAAGAAAAAGTGAAAAATAAACTACCTTAATTTTTAAAAGATCATGTTTATTGTAAGGATTTTTTAAGTTTACCAAATAAATAAAATATCAAATAACAAGTCTTTCTAAAAAAAAAAAAATCAAACAAAAAGGGGACAGTAGAGAAAAAAAAATAAAGAGCATTTTTTAAGTTTACCAAATAAATAAAGAGGACAGTAGAGAAAAAAAAAATAAAGAGGAAAACCAAAAGCAAAAAGAGTATTTTCTTGCTGGTAGAGTAGTGGTAGTAGTAGTAGTAGTAGGCATTTTTGTTTGATTAATTGATTAAACCTAATTTGAGATTTTAAATTAGGTTGGTTTGTTATTTGGTGAGTGTTGAGTCTGACACAAATTGACGATTGACGACTGCCGACGGCAGTGCACGCCTGAGTTTTGTGTGTTAGAGTCCCAACTCCCAACTCCAACCCAAAGTTCTGCAAACGAAAAATCAGGCACAAACGCAAAACCCAGCAGCTAATTAAATGCATGGTGGTAGGGTTAGGAGTGATTATAAAGTGAAAATAATGAGCAAGCTTAAAGACGCAGTTCTGTCAGAGCTGGCTGCTTCAAACCCTTCAATGTCCATAAGCCCCGACCTCATCCAACTCCGCTCGCAGCAATTCTTTCCAAGTACCCACAATCTCATTCACCCTCCTTACTCTTCGGTAACTATCAATCACCCTTTCAATTATTTTTCTTTTGTTTAATTTGATTGTTGCTTTCTCTTTTTGCTCTTGGGGACGAAGTCCTTGCCACTATCCTGTATGCCAATGTTAATTTTTTTTACTATTATATTCTAATTTTATTGAATTTTGTACAAAAAGTAAGTTGACTCCTGGGCATTTACTACTTGTATTTACAGAACATTCCATGAAATATTCTTTTTTTAATCTAAAAATCAATAGAATTTTAAGTAGTGGTGAAGTTCAATAAAATTGAAGTGAACTAAGAAAATTCAATATTGATCCATGACAAAATTGATCTTATACCCTTGGTTGTTTCTTCTTTAAAACTTGAAATGAATGTATCTTAACAATTGCAAAATCATTGTTAGGTATAAGGGGAATAATTACGTTTTTGGTTCGATTATATCTTTAATTTGTACTGTTTTATTTGTGTCCAAATTTAGTTTTACTTTCAAAAGTAAAAAGTACACCAGCAAAAGTACTGACAAAGTGCCATGTATGGCAAGTGAGAAAAGAATTAAGAAAATGAGTTCCAATATGTGTGTTTTGGAACTGTTTGCTGCTGCAAATGCCAGCACCTAGTAATGTTTTTTGTGCATACTAAATAGAAGATTGTTGAATGCTTACAAAGGAATGGAATTGGCAAGGAATGTATGCAAATGCTGCTGTTTCTTTCTAAAGCAAAATGAAAATCTTGATTTTATCTCAGTCTGTAATGAAAGAAATTGAACATTGTTATTGCTTATTTATCAACTCACTTTTGCCTTTCTTGATTTTTTATTGATTAGATGATACAACAAGCCATTTTGAAATTAAACGAGGAAGATGAACATTGTTATTGCTTATTTATCAACTCACTTTTGCCTTTCTTGATTTTTTATTGATTAGATGATACAACAAGCCATTTTGAAATTAAACGAGGAAGATGGGTCTAGTGAGGAGGCAATATCAAGGTTTTTAGAGAAGGAGTACAAGGGTTTGCCATGGGCGCATGCTAGTTTTTTGAGTCATCATTTGAAAAAGCTTTGTAGGAATGGAGATATTGTATGTGTCAATAATGAACAGTATATGCTCCAAGTGGATTATGGTGATTTGAGGGATGAGGAGGGAATGAGTCATAGGTTGAACATTGCAAATAGAAATGGGAAGGAAGATCAAACCTTAGTCCAAGACAATGGGAGAGAAGTTGAGGTTATTGATGGCTGGAGCAGGGTAAATGGTGATCAAGTTGAGGAATTTGAGGACCAATATGAAGTTGAAAGACAGAGTGCTGAAGTGAATGGGCAAAATAAAACATGTGAGCAAAGAATAGAGGGATTTGAAGAACAAAAGGAAGACAGCCAAGAATTAATTAAACAGGTTCTAGAAGTAAGTCAAAGCTTTAGTGGACAAATTGAAATGGTTGAAGAAGTCGATGAAGCAAAAGGAAAGCTAGCTGAAGTGGCTCAAAAACAAAGGCGAGAAAAGAGAAAGCAACCAGAGAAGAGTAAACAACAGATAAAGGTAGTTCATCTTACACCTGTTTATAGTATTGCAATTAGTAATAGCCTTTGCCTCCTAGTTGTGGTAGCAGTAAAAAGAATTTAAACAGAATAAGTAAAACATGACTAATGTAGATGGGCTTAGTTGGGGAATATCAGGTTTTCAGTCATAATGCTGTTTATTATGCTTATAATACTTTTCTAAGAATTCTGCTTATTTGTAATGTTGCAATTCCTTAGTAGGAGAAAGGATTGTGTGAAGCGGTTACCTTATGTCAAGAAAGATTACTTCCATTCAAATTCTGACAAATAATCATTGTTTATTATCCCCACAAATGATGTGTAACAAATAGTTGACTTCCTAAAAAACGTGATTTACATGTCAGTTTTTTAATAAAAGTGGTATTTTCTGACATGGAGTAACATTTCCTATGATCCTTTCTCTTTTTACTAGTTTTCTTTTGAATGTTAGGTTGTGCTTCTTAATTATGCTGTCTATTGTTTATTAAGGGTTTCAAGAACATCATTTTAGGAATGATTTTACAATCAATAAATTGGCAATCACCATATATGTAAGAATCTTTTTAAAATAGTGGTCCTAAGTCCTAATTGTGCCCATAGAAGAACTGTTTATTAAGAACCTTAGTGTATTTTGGTCTTAACCATGATAAGAAAAGACTGTTTTCCTTTTTCAAAGCCCCATTATTAAATGGCTTTTAAAAGCATGTAACTTCTGGTGCCATGTAGCATTTGACTTTGGACATTGTATCAAATCCTGCTTCTATATGTCAAATACCATATTAAACAACTTTCAAGGATAAGCTGGTCTCATCTTTTGGCTGCATGAATCAGAAATTTTTTTATATATCATTCTGCTTAGATAATAAGTTCAGGTCTTTTGTAGGAATAATGCTGTGAGCTATACTCTTTATGGAATTTATAGCAGAACCAGGAAAAAGTGAAAATATAGTTTGGTTCTCCTTGTAACAAATTCTATTGATTGATCATACATGGAAGAAGCAGTTCTTCTTCTCAAACATAAATAGCTGCTGTACATAATTCTAAATACCCTGGCTTAAGGGGTATCAAGTTTCTATCCTTCTATTTTTGGAAGGCCCCTCTCTCTCTCTCTCTCTTCAATATAATCCTAATTGTGAGAAGATAGTATCTGTTAGCATTAGTTGATCCAACATTATTGGAAAATAGTTCCTTTAATAAATGGTATAGATGATTAGATTTTGATATCTTAATTGACCATTAATCAATACTGATATTCTTACATTACTGGAAAAAGGTTTCCTTTATTGGTTACGATATTGCAAATACACCAGTAATTTGTAGCTAGTATTCATAATTACTTTCTAAAATTGCCAATATTGTAGTATTTTCCCGAGAATTCATGATGAAAATAATTGGCAGATATTTTTAGTTCTTAGAGACTCCAGCTAGGCCCTGAAACTGCAAGTCTACAACCTAACAAAATGATTACTCATATCACATATTGCAACTTAAAACAAACTGGCAACTTTTACTCATACATATCAAGCATTGCATATGTGAACTTGCTTTTCTCTGGTTTTTATTACTTTGTAGTGGTAAACAGGGATAGTTCCAGTTGCCTATGTATTTTTTTTGTTGGTCCAAGTGTTAAATTTCTTTTTGATTGAAGTTTCAACTATATTTGATAAACAGCTTATTGAGACTTAATTCTTTATTGGACTGTAAAGGTATTAAAGGATGATATTCCCCAGCCTTTGATGGAAGAAAAGAAGAAACATGTTGAGGAGCAACAACAGCAAAGGAAGATTCATCACGGAGAAAGAGATTCAATTGTTGTTTGTGCTTTGCCTGCACAACAGAAGTCACAATCGAGGACAAATATTTACCAGAGGGCACATAAGTTGCACACAGACTCTATATCAGCATCTCTTGAATTCAGGGAGTCAGAACAGATCCTTTTACAGCAAAGTAAGCTTTGTAGTCCTCAAAGGCCTGCAGAACTTCAAGTAACTACATCTGAGAGGTTTACTCAAAGTGAGCAGAAGCCAGCTGAGTTTTATACTAGGAGAGAGATACAAAATTTTAAGCCAAAAGTAAAACCTTCCTTTGGTATGTCCAAAAAAGAGCTTGAGAAGCAAGAACTGCAGTTTCAAAAACCAGAAAAGCTTCGAGAATTTGAAATAAAGACGAAGGAAGTAAATTTTGGTGGTGTGAAGGCAGCTGCATCCCTATCAATCGAAGTGAAAGATTCTTTGAATGTGCCATTGGATCTTCGGCAGCATGGCAGGGAACACCAAAAGAAGAAGCAGATAAAGGTTTATGTTAGGAGAAATGTGAGCAAAGCCCAGGTAAAAGAATCAGAAACTTCCAATATTTTGCCAACAAATCCAGAATAGCTTGAAAAGAAGTAGCAATTGGAGATTCAGTCACTTACTGAACACAAGCTAGCAGGGGTTCCTTCTAGAGAACTCAAATTATCTGTAAAGGAAAAGGCACTTTCCTGCTTTCTATACCTAGTAATTATGCAGTTGACATCCATATTAGCCTCTTAGTGGGATGGAATTGATGCTGTGATGCTGGCTAAATCTTTTGTAGCCACAAGGTGAGCCTTTATTTTTTTTTCTGTTTCATAGCTTTATGCTTGCTTGTGGTTTACCTAAGAGTATCTACAGTTTTTGAAATCATTGATACGAATAGTTATATACTTTCGTAGGTAAAACTGCCTTGATGTTAGTTGAGCAAATATTTTCCATTTGGTATTTTCACATTTAAGTGTCTTTGGTATCTCTAACAGTATAAAAGATTTTTCATTATCTTGCTGCACAGTTTTAGGACATCCAAAATTTTTATTTTGCTTTTCCTTGTTTATGTCTGAAGCATGCTCGTGTTCAGCTAGCTTAACTGCTTACTTTTCTGGGCTTATTGATGGAGTCTGTGAATGAATCAATAATTCTTTACCGTTATCCATTTTAATTATTGGTAACACATCTGTTTCTATTTCTTCAACATAAAAATGAGGATAAATCTTCACTCCTTCCACTTTGATTAATTGTCTAAATCATTAGTTATACAAGACAGGCACATATCTATGGATATATGACATTCTCTTCAGGAATATGAAGCATTCAAGCTGTAGTCTTTGTTCCAAATTGGATGCAATTGTAATGTTCAAATTGTGGTATTTGGTGAGAAATTGCAGCAGATATTTTTATCAATATATTAGATAGACAAGATTTCGTCATCTTGTTGTTTACCTAAAAATGTTTCAGACATTATTGGGCTGCAGAATTTGTTCATTTATCTAGAGTTTCTTTCTTTATGTTCATAGTTTTTACAACCATACAACACGCTTAGGCAGGTCTCAGCTTGAAGCTCGGTTGGAAGTGGCATGAAAATATGGGTCCCAAATGACACTCCCAACCTGACCGAATCCCTTATCATTCGGTATTTTGTCGGACGTTTGGAATCTGAATAATTTTCTTCTTTTCTATTCAAGTGTGTATGCCAAATAATAATTGAGTTTTATATATTTCCCATCTTTTTATATAATTTACGCTAGACACATGCACACCCACGTTGTGGGTCGAAGAAAAAAGTGATGTGAAGACAAGTGTTTTGAGAGGGAAAAAAAAACATATGGGTAAATTTTTAAGGGTAATTTTTTAAGGAGAGGTGGCTATTTGTTTAAGGAGATCAAGTAATTTATTTTAAGAAATGTATTATAAAAATATCCCTGTTTTATTTTTTATATCGTGATTTAATTTGGCTTTTTATGCTTTGCTCTATTGAATTAGCGTCACTTGATTCAGTAATATTAAACTCAGTCAATCTTTTTATTTATAGTATAAATTTTATTATAACTTTTGGCTTTCTTATTTTATTTTACGGTATATGTTTTATACATGTAAATGATACATACTAAATTTCAAATTAATTAAAAATATTTATTTATTTATTTACATTAATACAATTCAGTTGTAAAAAGAAATATTTTTATAATGTGTCATTGATATCAAATTGATTTAAAATTTTATCAATATAATATTAAATTTAAAGTTTGATTTGTTAAAATATTAATATATTCAAAATTACAAAAAGTGTTGAGAATTAGTAATTCTAAATTTCTAATTCTAATACGTTTAATAACTCGAACCGTCTGCACCTTTAACATTGTTGAAATGTCAGAGGGTGAATAACAACTTTTTAAAACACATGTGAAATTAAAAAAATATCTTTTCCTAATCTAAAGTATGTGGGCTTTAAGTTACAGAGGCGATTTTATTAAATATTCAGGCCATTTTGGTCTTATTTCATCTTTATTTACGGGCACTTTAGGTAAATTAAAACATGTCTTTTTTTTTTTTTTTTAAATTTGGACAAAAAACCAAGTTCACGAGTAACATGGGTCGTAGACGACAGGATTGACTCCACTCCACAAATTTGGAATTTAATAAACGCTGAACACCATAAATGTTAGGCTTACGTGGCACGACCTCCTTCATTCTATTACTATGCACGGCAAATTGGCAAATTTGCAAATGCAAGAAAACCCCAATCCCAAGTCCTAACTCATCGTCTCACAGCTGAACAGAGGCAGCGATTCAGCGATTCGCAGTCTCATAAAAAACCCAAATCGCTTTGTTTTTCTCCTTCTGACTTCTCATAATACTCAACATCAATCACATTCCTATTCCTATCATGGCGGAAATGACATCACCACCTCTCTCTCTGTCTCTCTTTATAGCCCCACAAATGTGGGGATAAGATAAGGTTCTAATTTCGAGCAAACCCTGAACTTTTAGATAATTTCTCCCTTTTTTTAGAAAGGAAAAAGAATTGTTTGTATGTGTTTTTTTTTTAAGGCAGTTACAATATTTTATCCATTTTTATATATCGTTTTTAATATAAAATATAGATAGTAATGATGGCTTTCTGACAGCACTTGGTTTTGACATGTTCAAGTTGTTTTGTCGGCAATCCACCAGATTCGGGATACATACGTACATATATGCGTTTAAATATACGCTTACGTGGTGCTGTATTCCAACGTATAAGGTGTTGGAGGTGTTATTTGAGCAGTTCATATATTTTCTTCGCTGTTATTTGAAACTCTTGTCATCAATCTTCAAGCTTCTTCAGCTTCCTCCTTCGCCTCCTTTGCCGACAAAAAAAAAGTAACATTTCCTTTTCTCCTTAATTATTAAAATTTTCTGTTTCTCTTCGAAATGAGTGTTGGGTTTTTTTTTCTCCTTTTTCTGTTTGGGGGTAGGAATTTTAATGTCTGTTTGATGAACGATATTGATGTTTAAAGTTTTGTTTTTAGGATGAAAATGACTTGAATAAAGTTTTTACCTACAACTACAAGCTTATTAGGTTTAATTGTCTGCGTGGAGTTTCTTTTCTCAGATGCTTTCTTGGGAATTCTTTAAGCCTTATTATGATTCACCAAACATAGCTCTTATTCTTATATTTCGAAATTGTATAAAATAGATGGAAAAATAATCATTTTTTATGTGTATTTTTTTGTCCTTTTTTTTTTCTTGCTTAATATACTAAAATTTGCATCTAATTCACAAGTTAGGGTTGCCAGAGATCTTCATACTAAAACTGTTTTTTAGGATTGTGAATTTGGGTTTGATGTCTTCCACGAATTATGAAGATGAGTTCAGTTAGTACATAAACAGTAATAGTTAAAATCCGAAATACCTATACATTTGGAAGCCTGTAATGGAATTTATTTGAAATTCGCTTTTCCATCTCCATATACAGATTCATTAATACTATATTCGAAATCTGACCAAATTCATGGATTTGAGTTTAGTCATAAAGCTCATATATTCATGGGTATTACCACACAACTTATATTATATTTGAATTCAAATCCTTAGGTTCCTAAATGCAACCCTGAATACTAATATCTAATTATATGTTAGGTGGTTTCATATACTTTCCTTTTATTACTTCCAAGTAGCTGTGAGCACATTATAGTGTAAGCTTTTCATATTGGTTTTCTTTCAGATGGAATCTAATGGTTATTTTAATTTAATCAGAAAATGTTTGACAAAGACTTTTTCACTGAATATGGCGAAGCAAGTCAATATGAAATAAAGGAAGTAGTTGGCAAAGGAAGTTATGGTGTCGTTGCATCTGCAATAGATACTCACACTGGAGAGAAGGTAGCTATTAAGAAGATGACCAATATCTTTGAGCACACCTCTGATGCAACACGCATTCTTAGAGAGATCAAACTCCTACGGCTACTGCTACACCCTGATATAGTTCAAATAAAACACATAATGCTTCCTCCATGTAGAAGAGAATTTAAAGATATATTTGTTGTTTTTGAGTTGATGGAATCTGATCTTCACCATGTTATAAAGATAAATGATGATCTAACCCCTGAACATCATCAATTTTTCTTGTACCAGCTTCTTCGGGGTCTAAAATACATTCACACAGGTTATTTATCAATTGCTGTACAGTTTTCTCCAATTTGTGATATTAAGTGACCCACTTTTTTTTTTTTTTTTTACCTTTTCCTTTTAATTTTTCAGCACATGTTTTCCATAGAGATTTAAAGCCAAGAAATATACTTGCTAATGCGGACTGCAAATTGAAGCTTTGTGATTTTGGACTCGCTCGGGTATCATTTACTGATGTTCCTTATGCTATTTTTTGGACTGTAAGTGTTTCCATCTTGCTTTACGACTTCTCTACTATTCATATCCTTTGTTTGTACCATGTTAGTATCCTTCGCCTCTGATCATCAGTTACTTTTCCAGGATTATGTGGCAACTCGATGGTATCGTGCTCCTGAATTGTGTGGTTCATTTTTCTCCAGGGTAAATACTGCTGTTTTTTTCTTACTGCAATTCATTTACTATAATCTGTTGAAGAATTGTTAGTCAGCCAAATGGATTATTTTAACCTGCCTTCTTTTAGTTTTCGTTAGGGATTTTATGCTTTAGGCAATGATGTATTTGAGTTCATTACTTTTCTGGTTGTCATGGTGGCTGTGTTGCTTGAGGGGTAGAATAGAATCTTTGTGGGTTGAAGAATGTGAGATGTTTGTTGACTCATCATATATTTCAATTCTTATCCTCTGTTTTTATTTTCTTCTTCTTTTTCTTCTTCTTCTTCTTCTTCTTCTTCTTCACATAAACTGCTGCTAGAAGTTTACTTTATATTCTGCTCAGGTGAACCAACTTGAGCAAATTTCCGCTAACAACTTTATCAATTGATTTTTAAAACCTGTGTTTTCTGCAGTACACCCCTGCTGTTGATATTTGGAGTGTAGGATGTATATTTGCTGAGTTGCTGACAGGAAAACCTTTGTTTCCTGGGAAGAATGTGGTGGATCAATTGGATCTTGTGACTGATTTGCTTGGCACTCCTTCTTCTGAAACAATTGCAAGGGTTTGCTATCTCCTATCGATTAGAGAAAATTCCATCAGTGCTTGTTGGGAGCCTCTTTAAGTTACTTCCTAGCTTTATACTAAACACGGACAAGATCTGGTTTCCTAACCATCTTGATTCTTCGTAATATCTGCAGATTCGAAATGAAAAAGCTAGAAAGTATTTGAATAGCATGAGAAAAAAGAAACCAATTCCTTTATCAAAAAAATTTCCAAATACAGATCCATTGGCCCTCAATTTACTTGAGCGCCTGATTGCATTTGATCCTAATGATCGTCCATCTGCTGAAGAGGTAAACTCTTGGGGTTCTGATAGTTTAAGATTTGGATGATTTTTCTTCAAGCTCTTATATTATTTCCTAACTTTTATGATTGTTCATTATGCAGGCATTAGCTGATCCATATTTCCATGGATTGGCAAATGTGGACAATGAACCATCCATGAAACCCATTTCAAAATTTGAATTTGAATTTGAAAGAAGGAAATTGGCGGAAGATGATGTCAGAGAGCTAATTTACAGAGAGGTATTTATGTGCATGGAGATTAGTTCTTGGCTCAGTGATATTGTTCTTAATTTAATGCCTTCTTTCACTTATTGTTTACTTGTGGCGCATCTTCTTTTAAAATGCAAACAGATATTAGAGTACCATCCACAGATGCTTCAGGAGTACCTTCAAGGCAAAGATCATATTAACTTCATGTATCCAAGGTCAGGCATCCAACGATTTTTTCTGATGATTGTTTAGAACAGTTACATAAACGTAAATCATAAAGATCAAACCCTCTTTAAGTTTCAATCATAACAGTGAGGTACAAGGTCTCTGCTGTTGAAACTAGAAAGTGATGAATTATTATCTTTCTTTATTTGCATCAAGAATTCCTTTGCTTAGATGCAGAATTAACATTGATGCTAAAAATCTTTTATTCTGTAAAATATAGCACAAACTTACAGATAGTGGGGCCTGTGCTGAAAGATGGTCATGATCAGCAACCTGTCATCCATCACGGAATGATTTTATAATCACTATGCATTTTCAGTATTCAAAGTATCGTTCTATATGTTCTTATTAGTTATTATTGTAATATTTGTCATAACTATAGATTGAATCCCAATATTGTTCTTTTCTAACAATGGCATAACTACAGATTAAATCCCTATGTTGTTCTCTTCTCCCTAACAATGGAATGGCTTATTCTAGCTTATTCTAGCATATCTACTTCCAACTTGTGGGATGGATTTGTTTGTTCCGTTTTAGTAAAGTATTATACAGATTATAAAAGTGGTCATTCATTTCACTTCAAGCATGTTGCGCAAAGAAGAAATGTTCCAAAACTGTTCGTCTTTTAGCAACCATCTTTAGAAAACCTTGGGCACAAAAGAGGAATTGTAATACAACCTCATCTTTGCTTCAACACAACAATCTTCTGGCTATTCATCTAAGTTCTAATAGGATTTATCATCTATATGTTAGCTACCTGAAATTTGCATCATAAGTTACTGTTTCTACCCCTTCTTTTATTCTAAATGCTGTTGAATGTTAAATCAGTTAAGTGTTTTATATTTACCCAGCGGAGTTGATCAGTTTAGGCGACAATTTGCCTGTCTTGAGGAATATGGCAAAAATGAAAGGGGCATTCTACTTCAGAGGAAATATACATCTTTGCCTAGGTGAATTGCTGGAATATCTTCTTTGCAGTTTGTTTGATTTGAATTGGCTGCTTTTATTATATTGAGTATGGCCATTTGTTTCATAGGGAGCGAGTCTGCAATGACGATACTGATCACATTGATCAATCAAAAAAACGTACAGTGGCTTCCGCTACTCGTGCAACACTTCAAAGCCCTACAAAATTGCAAGGATCTGGGGAATTGGAATATGCAAACCAGCATGTGTCAGGGATTCAGAAAGCCTCTGGCAAACCTACTAGCAGTGCCCCTCGCCTGTTGAAAAGTGATAGCATCAGTGCTTCAAGGTGCGTGGGTGTCATTCGAAAACCTAGCAAGGTATGTGCTACCTACCAATGTATTCAGTGGCTGTTTGTCAATGTTTACTTCACAAAGGGGTTTAGTATCCTCTCTCTTACTTCTCTAACCCTCTTTCCAGGTGCACAATGAAGTACAAAAAGTGGTAGCTTAATGTGTTGTTAACAGCGTCCCACAAAGATAGTCTGCAGGTCCTTTTGTTTTCTTTTGCTAGGTCCACAACTTTCCTTTGGAGGTTTTAATCTGTTTCCATAGGCCATAAAAATTGTGGCAACTTACTAGAGCTCTTGTATTATTGGCTCTTTTAATGAACTGATATGTGGTGACCCTGCTGATGTAGCTTGTAGCTTTTATATATGATTCTTCAGAGGAAATTACCTGTTTGCTGTAGAGTGCCTTTAACAAACTATTTTCTGATCTCAATGGCAGTAGCTGTTCGGGACACACAAAAAAGGGTATGACTTCTGATTTAGAAGTTATTTAAGGGAGTTAATCTTGTGGTCACGAATTGGGCGATTGCTGTAAAGATACGCATATTTGCAGTCACTCGATGTTAAATGGTTCACTAGGATTCAGCTACACCTTCACAAGATTCAAGCAATTCAATTACAGGCACATTTTGACATTTTTGTTGTAATGTGAAACCAAGATCAGATTAACAAACATGAAACATGCAATTCTACCTCAACTGGTGGCATATATGGACGCATTCAGAGCTTCTAATGAAATTTTTGGGTGTTTTTATTTTGTTGTTGCATTCGTTCATAAATTTTACTGATGTTATGTGTTAATAAAGTGGGAAACTATCGGTAAATTTGGATTCTTAAAAAGAACAAGAGTCTTCAAACTGGATCTAATATCACCACTAAAAATGATGAAACTTCTGCGTTATTGTTGATTTATATTACGTTTAATAGTTTTTCATTTCTAGTTGTGGTGTTAGTACAAACTCATTCCATTGCAAAATGATCATGAAAAAAATGCAATCTTTTGAGGATCGATCGCACAAATGCCTCCAGTCTCTGACTAGATACTGCTATCCCAATGATGATTACTCATTCCAATCTTAATCAGAAACGTATATGCATACGACTAACCACATTCTCTTACTACTTGATCAAGAGGTAGTTAGACAACATGATCTTTTTGAAAGTTGTCAGCTTGGAAATCATTTAACATGTTTCCAGTTTCTTGAAAGAGGCAAGAAAGCCTTTCTTTTCTTTCTTTAATAATCCTTAACAACTGCAGCGAATGTAAGACACTGTTAGAACATAAGTTTCTGAAATAGACACTAATGGCAGAAACTGGAAAGTCCATGACCAATGGTGCAAATTATGGCCTCTGAAGTCTAAACAAAGTCCAAACCATAGACCAAGGAACTCAATTAATGTGCCAACACACATTCTTATTTTAAACAGAAATTCAGTTGGTATCCTAAACAGTATAATTTCTGTTCTTCTCACATTGGTACTACAAGTATCACCACGAGTCCATTTCACGTGTATGGTACTAGTACGTTTTCACTCATCTAGTAGTTGAATTTTCCCCCTTCTAGGTTCTAGCCACTTCCATCTAGTTGACCATGAGAAAGGAGGTGGGCCATGTATTGCTGCAACCAAACAACAACATCTGAATTAGATAGCATTGAGCAACAGAAGCTCAAAATTTAGCATCAAAAACCTTCCAATTTATATTAAGTCAAGCAGATTGAAAGTTTTCTTTATGTACTGCATTAAATAAAGAAGCCAGCAAACTTGTATAGGAAGCATTAGAGCAATTTGAAAAGCACAAGGAGAAGGGAGATCTTGCGTTGATTTAACCATGCATGCCTTATATGTCTCAGAAGCCGAAAAAGGTTAAAGGATTATGCGTGGGTAGATTTAAAGCAGAAGGTTATGCAACTGTTGTTGTTTCCTTGGCTTGCCTCTATTCCTAGCAGCCTAGGCTATCTTTGCTAGATGTTAGTGCTATTTACATTTTGCTAAACTATTTGCCTTTTGCTATCATTGATTCAATATATATATATATATATATATATTTGTAAAAAAAGGCAATATCAAAAACATCAGCCATCCAATAATAGCAGAGAATCTCTCTCTAGAATTTTTATAGGGTAAAAGCAAAATAAAACGTGGGAGGAAAGAATCAAAGGTAATTTAATAATGCCTACAGCCAAGGGAAGACATATGCGTGGATAGACATTAATAAACACTTAAGGGAAGACTAGGCAAAGAGTTTTGAATTAATAAACACTAGGCCAGCTGATAGGGAAAAAATAAACTGAAACCGCTTCGTTGCAATCTATAATCAGTTTAGCAACTTATTGGCGTCAATGTGTCTTTCCTCCCATTCAATAAGGCACTACTTGGATGAGTTGAAAATCAAATATCAATTTTATGAATCATTTTCCTTGTTAACACGACTTCCCTCATTCCCAAAAAGTGACAATTGACCAAGAAATTACTAACCCAAGAAAAAGTGCCTAGGTGCCTTGAAGTTGAGCAACTCCTCTTATGTATGAGGGAGGTTGAAATGGCGAAATTTAAAAGGTAGAGAAGAAGGAGATGACAAGTATCAAGGAGTATCTACAAAGAAAGCGTTACTCCATTCAGCCCAACTCACTGCTGTCTTAGGTAACAACCAGACTATGCTTGAATCACGCACATAAAAAGAGCCCATTCTAATTGAGGTTTCAACTTTCATGTAACACCAGAAGAAAATAACCCTATTTTGCAAACCAGGAATGAAATCATAAGTAGATTACTGAAAGAGTACGTGCACACACATAAACAAACATATATAATTGCATTGCGTAACTTACCGCGTGATAGGCATATGGCGATTTCCCTTGACGCTCGAAGTGTTTAGCCATGATACAGAACTCAATCGGACCCCATTCCTCTGACTCAAAACAATTGCCTAATGCTGCTTTATATAACTATCCAAACCAAACAACAAACAAATATCAACCAAATATAAAATTTTAATATTGGCAAGGCAATAAAACTAATAGAAAAAAAGAGGGGTACCTTAGCAGTGTCAGTTAAAAGCTCAGTTCCAGCAGGGTAAGAAGCATAGAATTGATCAGCCCTCGAATACCCAGCTCTGGTTCTGCAAAATAAACACCAAAATCAAGGCAAACCCATTAGAAGGAAACTCTATAAAAGTATGAAAATCAATCAACAATAAAAATAGAACGTACGTGTTGCTTGTATAAGCGTAGCTCAAAACAGCAACAAAGCAATAGAATCCAGTGTATGACACAATTCTTCGGAACTTTTGAATCTTCAGAATTTCCTTGAAGCCGTCAAAAAGATTGTAGACTATCATGATTGCTTCTGAAATTTTCAAGTGTTTCTAAGAGGGAACTCTTTTATCGTCGGGACATTTTATCGAACAAGCGGCGTGCTTGAAAAAAAGGTCATAATTATCAGCAGCCCAGCTGTCGGTGTTGCGTGTAAAAGGGCGCTTTTTGTTGTCCTGCATTAAAAGTAGTCTCCCCGTCCTTTCGTTCTAGTTTCATTTTTAATGGTAAAATATTTTTAGGTTTCATTTGGTAAATTATTTTAAATTTTTGCAAAAAAAAAAAAAAATTTAAAATAATAAAAAATTTCTTGAATTTGTTTATTTTATTTAAATAAATTTTTATATTTACATTTAGATAAAATTTTAATTTTTACTTCAATTCAAATAAACTTTGAAATTTTAATTTGTATCTATATAAATTTTTATTATTTAATTTATATTTAAATAAAATTTTAATATATATCAATCTTTTAATTAAAATAAAATATATTTAAATATAAATTAAAAAATAAAAATTTATTTGAATTAAATATAATAAAAATATAAAAATTTATCTAGATAAATGATAAAGTTAACTTACTTTTTAGTATTTTTAGGGCCTTACTTCTTTTACACATTGTATCACAAATCACAATATTACTGCCTCTATTAGAAGCCAATGACTCTACAACTAACAAACACTTGTGACGATAATGGCAAGGACAAGGTCAACAACAACAAACGCTTGCAGCTTCGTCCTCAAGCTCCTCTGCCTTTACTCCTTGCCTTATCTCAGTACTTCAACTCCTCTCTTTCCCACAGAAGCCCTCCCCACCAAATCAGGCTACCTCCCAGTAAATCCTGCCACCGGTTCTGCTATTTTCTACACCTTCTATGAAGCTCAAAGCCCCACTTCCCATCTCTCCGAAACCCCACTTCTCATTTGGCTCCAAGGTGGCCCTGGCTGCTCCTCCATGATCGGCAACTTGTTTGAGCTTGGACCATGGCGTGTCGTGTCTTCTCACAAGCAAAACCCTGACCACTTGTCTCTTGAACGCAATCCAGGTTCTTGGAACCGCTTATTTGGTCTTCTTTTTCTTGACAATCCCATTGGAACAGGGTTTAGTATTGCATCAACGCCGCAGGAAATTCCTAGAGACCAACATTCTGTTGCCAAGCATCTTTTTGCTGCGATTACAAGTTTTATCTCATCAGATCCTTTGTTTAAGTGTCGTCCTATTTATATTACTGGTGAGAGTTATGCAGGGAAGTATGTTCCTGCAATTGGGTATTATATTTTGAATAAAAATGTTCAATTGCCAGTGTCGAAAAGAGTGAACTTGAGAGGTGTTGCTATAGGTGATGGGTTAACAGACCCGATCGTCCAGGTTGCTACTCATGCTGACAGTGCTTACTATTCTGGTTTAGTCAACGAGAGGCAAAAGGTGGAACTAGAGGAAGCACAAAGGAAGGCAGTTGAGTTGGTTAAGATAGGGAACTGGAGTGAGGCAACAGACGCTAGACGCAGGGTCTTGTATATGCTGCAAAACATGACTGGTTTGGCCACTTTGTATGACTTCACAAAGAAAAAGCCTTACCAGACAAGTTTTGCAACCAGGTTTCTCAACATAGCTGAGGTAAAGAAATCATTAGGAGTGAACGAATTGATGGTTTTCGAGGAGTGCAGCGATGTTGTTGGCGCTGCACTGCATGAAGATGTGATGAAGAGCGTGAAGTACATGGTGGAATTCTTGGTGAAGAAGAGCAAGGTGTTGTTGTATCAAGGGCTGTATGATTTAAGGGATGGTATAGTGTCAACAGAAGCATGGGTGAAGACGATGAAGTGGGAAGGAATTGAGAAGTTCATGATGGCTGATAGAATAATTTGGAAAGTAAATGAAGACCTTGCAGGGTACGTGCAAAAATGGGGGAGCTTGACCCATGTTGTGGTTTTAGGGGCGGGACATCTTTTGCCCGCCGACCAAGCTTTGAATTCTCAAGCTATGATTGAGGATTGGGTTCTGGAGAAGGGCCAGTTTGGTGGACAACAAAAAGGTTCATCATCAAATTGCAGGGCAACACTCTGAATTTTATTGCTCTGAAACTTGTTACTGTTGTTCTGCTTTCAGTGACCGGGTTTTAAGCTATGTAATCTATTCTATTCAATAAAAAATTCCACTCTCTTTTGTATCAATACCAGTGAAGGACGTGTTTGTCTACATGAAGCCAAAGATCCTTCCAGTTGCCACATTCTTAATCAACTAGCTCTTTTACGAATAAGAATATTACAAGCAAATAACTACAATTTACAAACACTTCACAAATAAGGAAAGTAGGTCAAAAACAGATGCTTGCTTCATCGCAGTAATTCAACTTTCTCTTTCCCAAAGAGCCCTAGCTACTAAATTAGGTTAACTCCGAGTCAATCCTGCCACTAGTTCTGCTATTTCTACACCTTGTATGAAGCAAAAGCTACATCTCACGCCTAGCCAAAAGCACCTCTTATCATATGGCCCAAGGTGGCCGTGACCGTGATTGCTCCCTGATTATGAGAAACTTCTTGGAGCTTGGGCCCTGGTGTGTTGTTTCTTCGAACAGGCAAAATGTGGAACGCTCGTCTCTTTGAGACTAATTCAGGTTCTTGGAATCGCTTATTTGGTTTTCTTTTTATTGATAATCCTATCGGAGCATGGTTTAACATAGCTCCAATGCTAATGGAAATTACTAGAGACCATGATTCTGTTGCTAAGCACTCTTTTGCTGCATTTACAAGTTTTATCTAATTTGATCCTTCTCTTATGCATCCACCTATATATATTGCTCGGGAAAACAATGAAATTTGGTAGGTAAATGGAAAGCTTGCCGGTTATGTGAAAAAATTGGGAAGCTTGACCATTATCGTGGTTTGTGCTGGGTATCTTGTGCCGGCTTACCAAGCATTGAATTCTCAGGTTATGATTCGAGGATTGGGTTTAGTAAGAGTCAGTTTGGTGGAAAGCAAAATGGCTCATGGCTCACAATCAAATTCCAGAATTCTATTCCCCCTTAACTTGTTTTGGTTCTTCAAATATCTAAATTGTAATCTTATATTACCATCACTGAACCGATTCAAAACTTAGTCACTAGTCACTATTCAACAGTTTAATGATTTTTATCACCAACCATTTACATGAATCTATGGGCTTGATCAATTTTAACCAGGAATTAATACTTGAACTCCAACGCAAAAAAAGCCCACCCCAGCCACACCGTGAAAACTTTTGGTAAGGAACTCTCAGAAGCCAAATTCTCAACAAAATCAATTTCAATATCCACGATGAAACCGATTTATGATAGTGTTATATTAGTCAAGCAAAACTAGAAAAGCTTTTAAAGTTTGCCATAACGAATGAAAAAACACATTTTGTTTTTAAAATTTGGAAAAGGATAATGAACAGAGATTTTGGAGCAGATGGTATTCATGTAATGGCGTTTGGAGGCGGGAATGTGGTGAAAAGAATCTGATGGGTAGGCGAAAGAAGGGAAATCGGTAAAGTAAACCAAAGATCCCATTCTGACGACCAAAACCCAACAGAAACAAAAGCACAAAACCCGTACTATGATGCCATTGAAAAAAGATTTGTTGTGCAGGGCCGACGGAAATGCAGGGCAGCCCGTGGAGAACCCACAGGTATTTTAAGAGCCATTGATTGAAAATCTTGCTCTCCCCTATTTGCCTCAGCCCTTTCTCCCTCATAGAATTTATACAGAAATAAAATTTTTGGAAATGATAAAATAATTTGGTGATTGAAGGCCTAACCTAATTGCTGCAGTTTCTCCAGGGTGTTTGGCGATGGCACAGACGCTGAATTAAACCCTACATCGGTCTATTTATTGAGCAAACAAGGGCAAATTGATCACGTGATGCTCACGTGATCTAAATATCTTAAAGCCAAAAGGAACACAAGCTACAAAACATCTCTATCCGGCAAACTATGGCAGTTTCCAACCGAACATAAAAATGAGATTCAGACACGGAACGGAAGCTTTGTTTGAGTCTTTCTTCTTCTAAATTCTCAAGTCTCTTGCCGTTGTCGTCAATGTCCATTTACTTTTGCCAAATTCCTCGAGCTTGTTTTTTCCCCTTGCCTCAGCAAATTTCGTCAACAGCTTATGAGATTCTCTGGCATTTACTTGTAGCCACTTGAGGCATTGCTATCCACATAGAAAAGAAATCTTGTTACCAAAAACCCAGGTGCGTCGTGAACCCGAAAAACCCTGGTGCGTCATGAACCCGTAGTTGCATAATCTCCATCAATAATTTAACTTTCAATTTGCTTTGCTTGCATTTTCTTTACATTTCCATGTTTGGTTACCGAGAAACTGCATCCAAACAAACTGCCAAGTCAGGCCTCTCTTGCTTAAAGTCTGTTGGTTCAATTCTCAGTTTCACAACTTCAAATTCTTTCCACAATTGAAGTGGGGAACCGAGAACTTGTATTAGAAAAAAAGTATGGTTTGATTTGAAAGAAACCCAAATCTTCTAGATCCCATTTTTTTTTTTTTTTAGTTTTCTTTTTGAATGGGTAATAGTTGATTTCATACCCTGGATTCTAACTCAAATGCTGTTTTGCAGGATTATATATGCTTCGATGAGCTAGGCATGTTCTTTTGGTGCAATGAGTTTGTTTCACATGGCACAAACTTTTTCAATCGCGCATTCATGTGGCATGGTATGAATCAGATTTATGTTTAATAAATTTATTTCTCTGTGCAACAGCATGGGCGCCATTCGCATTTGTTTTAAATGAATAATTAAAGCATGCATTTTTATGTCTATTTAGATTTTATTATTGTTTTAGATTCTGCTAGGAAGTTGTCAGAGAGAGTTGTAGGGTTGAATCGGATGGAAAGAATGATGAATGGTACATGTGTCTTTGTGTGTATGGAAAATTTCAGAGGCTACAGTAAAATAAGAACATAAATACAGGTGAGAAGCCAAGTAGGATAAATGACTAGTGGAAACACTAACAATTTAGGCAAATCCATTTGTTTAGTTGTTTAGTTAGGTTGAAAAGTAAGTGCCGAGTCTGAATTCTGAAGTCTTTTTCTTTGAAAGTGAATTATGTGATTCAGATTGGAACAAATTCTCTTAACATGAAAATCTCAATTGCTTCCAAGTGTAGTGATCTGCACAATCATAAATATAGGATAGGATTTGAATTTGGAAGGGTTTAGTGAGACTGGTTAGTATAGAACAGAGAAATATTGGATTATTCAACATCTTAATTTGCGGTGTAAGTTAAATAGCGAGGTTGCATTTATAGATGTAGTTTTAATGTGAGATGATGTATGAACTTAGAAGCTATAACATAAATAGAGTGGTTTGAAGTTGACCATAAACAATTGCTTCATGGTTCATTGAAATAGTTTCCATAGTAGCTTCAAATGGGATTTCAATGAGGCCCTAGAAGATGAGGGAGATGACTTTATCAAGCCACTCCTGTATCAAAATCCGTTATTGTTGTTGGAAAATTAAGGATGATGAGATTATTAAAATACTGAATTGGCTGTTTTGTAGGGTATATTAGTAAAGGTTCTTGTGACAATGACTCAGAGTTGGCTTTCTACAGATTATGATGTATTTGAATTTTCTGAGCTTCATTGCTTCCCTGGTTTCCCTTTAAGTTGTTTTTTCCTCTCTGTACAATGCCTTGGCATAGCAGAGAGTTCTTTTTCCTTGTCTTTCTATCTACTGTGTCTGCATTTGCTTGCACTTTTTTTTCTTCTAAAGTTTAGTAAATCAATGGAAATTTGGGAATATGTTAACATACTTGAGGTCATCAATACCTTGTTTTTCTTGTTTTCAATGTATTAACAACTGAATTTGTTTCTGATGGACAAAATTTCTGAATTTGTTTCTGATGGACCAAATTAGAAATTTTGTTTTCTCTCTTTCTCTCTCTCTTACACACACACACACACACACACACACACACAAACTAACTCCTTTTAGCACTTTTCATTGCCTTAAATTGCTTCTTCTCTTCTGCTATTTTCTGCCAATGTCAAAGGTACTTGTGATTTATGTTGCTGAGACCCCATTATTTGCCCTAACTTATTTTATAGCTGTTTTACTTATCCAACCAAGCTTGCTTACCAGGTCCTTAAGTACACTTGTGAAAACTTTGCAAGAACCATTTATTCCATTTTAGAAATTTCATATATCCCTCTTTGTTTTTGTTTTTCAGTTTTTATGGCTTATTTTAGCATCTTATGCTTCAAATGAGGACGGTGATACTGAATTTTTCTCATGTATTTTTAAAAATTTCCTCCTTTTCTTTCAGTGTTTTAGCGGGCAAGGTTTGAGAAGTGCCATAGTCTTCGAAGCAGAGAGAGGATATAGGAATGCTTTAGGTAGAAAAATGAGGTATTTCTCTACATTCAGTTTTCTGGTTACTTAAAGCACGATGATTGAGAAGGAGTGTTTTACTTTGAGTTGCCTTCAATTAATCTCAGGTTTAATAATTTTCTCCTCGATAAAGTTTCAAAAATTTGTTTTCGATCCAAGCACACGTTTCCAGAGAAGTTATTGGAGGAAGTACATAATTATGATACAGCCAGTATCTCAGATCGCTCAAAGCTGCTAAATAAGGTAGATGCCTATTTACAAGATTTGGCAATTGGATGTTGCTTATAATTATCAAAGACTTTTCTTTGTATCTCCTCTAGCAAGGAAATGTTTTCTCCAGTTTCTATGGTTATATTATGTTTTGCATCAATACTGATACTGCCATTTATGATACCAGTAGGCAGATCTCTAACCTCTTTTTCTTTCACTTTCTTCATGAGAAAATTTATTTTACTAATCTTGACTAATATTACAATTTCTTTATTTCTTTCTTTTTGGTTGTCACAACTCCAAAGTCCAGTGAGCGCCTTAACCTTACAGTTATTCTTGTTGATATGAATGCATGTCTTGAAAATAAAAATTTAGTACTTTTACATTTCACATGTTTTCATATCAATGGTTGACATCAAGTTTGTTGTGCAACTTGCGCAGATAAAAATTAAGAAGGATTAAATTTATAAAATGGAGAATACATGATACAGTTGGAGAATGGGT